CTCCCTCCGCCAAAAACCCGCGGGTCGCGACCTCGCCACCCCCTGGGTCCCCCCTCCACCTTACACCGCCGAGACCCTCCCGGCGGCCACGGCCCTGCCCCCACCCCGTGCCAAGAATCGCCCTGCCTTAAAGTCTGGGGAGGGGCCGGCCTCGGGGACCCTTTCCCGCCCCCCCCTCCCCGCGGGAACGAGGCGCACCCCGCCGCTCCTCCACGCGGGTACATTCCAGGCGCCCCTCCCTCCCCCCACCCCCACTCCTCGGTCAAGTTCACTTTACTTTAGCACCTTTTGAAGAGGGCGACGGACAGACCCCAGGAGATGGAGAGGGGGAAAAACAAACCCGATCCCACGGAGAAAGCGGATCCAGGGTTGGCAGCACCCCTCCTTCTCACTTTGCGCCCCAGTTCTGGGGGGTTGTTTGCTGTTCTGGAACCTTCTGGAATCCCCGCGGCCCCACCTGGCAGCCCGGGGTGGTGGAAGCAGCGCCTTGGGTGCCCCCCTGACCCCCTCCGCCCGCCCCCCCCTTCCGCACTGGTCCTCAAGGGACATCGTTGGGGGGTGACCCTGGCTGGTCTGTGACCTCTCCAGAGACAGAGACGATAGGGCCGTGTGCAACGGGCTCGCTCCGTTTATTTGGGGTGTTGTTTTGTTTGTTTTTTGCCAAAAAAAAAAAGATACTTTGAGGGAAGGAAGGATCGGAGAGGAAGAGAAACATCAGCGCCTTCGTCTCCACCGGCGCCTCGTCTTCCCCGTTTGTCAGCGACCGTCCCTCCGCGTCCCACCCAGGGGACCTCCAAAACTGGCTCCCCGCCGGCTCTCCAAAGCGCCTGCCCGCCCCCCAGTCCCCTGGGGCTGCAAGATCTGGAGGCTAGAAGGAACTTCTTCCCCAACCCCCAATCTTTGTCCCCCGTTCCACAGCCTCCGAGGGAGGTGGCCACACACACCCCCATCGAGAATGCAAAGACGTTTTTAGTGAAATTCCCGCCCCCCAGGTAAAGACTACCTCATTCAAACATTCTGTGATTGGAAAAATCACTTGATACCAAAGATTTCCCCCTAGGATTTGTGCTGGATACTCCCGTTCCCTGGTGTGGGGACCTGGGGTGAGAGAGAGAGAGAGAGAGAGAGAGAGAGAGAGAGAGAGAGAGAGAGAGAGAGAAAGAGAGAGAGAGAGAGAGAGAAAGGAGAGAGAGAATAGTAACGTTGATGATTGCCTTTTTCTTAAACCAAAGATGTGTATGGAACGTTCTCATGTCCTTATCGACTTGCTATTCTCTTGGCTTTTTTAAGCAACAGCGTGATGCTTCTAGAACCTTCTAGATGCTTCTAGAACCTTCTAGATGCTTCTAGAGTGTGGGGATAAAACCCCTTAGTCCCACTCCACATCCTCTCCGCCACACATGCACACACATTTACACGCAGGCACACACACTTATCTGCACAGTACACAGACACAATTGCATGCACACGGACACACACAATTTGCACATACTCTGCTGTCCTTTGGGGGGGGCAACAGGGGGAGCTGGAGTCCAGGTGGACACGGGACCCTTCCCATCCACCCCTCACTCATACGTGGGTGCCATCTGCTCACAACAATTTGAGGTGGTTCTGGCAAGAGAACTTTCTAGAACTGAACTGAAATTCACTGGGGTCTCATCTCTGAGATTAAGGGCACATCCCTCCTCTCCCCATGCCCTTCCCAGGTCCAATTTCAAACACACACATGTACCCACCAGTTCCCTGCCTTGTCCAATTCCTAACTCCCACCCCACAATCAGGCCCTGGTATTCCTAGGGGCTCGCCCATCCCCTCTCTCCGGCACCCCACTGGTGGTCCCAGGTCAAATCCTTTCTCCAGACAGGGAACGGTTCTTCCAGCACAAATCCTTTGAGCCTTTGACAATTTTCTCTGAAATACCTCAAAATATTTAATGTATAGTTTATGTGATATAAAAAAAAGAAAAAAAAGAAAAGGAAATCCTTAGCTAGTTTTTGGAATATGTGACTTGAAGCTTCCTGCTGTCCTGTTCTGCTGCTGGGCGCCAGAGAGAAACTGAGGCAGGGCGGAAGGAGCAGGAGTTTACAGATTTCTTACTTGGACAAGTCCTTTGGCAGAGGGAGAGAGAGTGAGAGAGAGAGAGGGAGAGAGAGAGAATGAGAGAAGGAGAGAGATGGAGAGGAAGGAAGGGAGGAAGAGAGAAAAGGAGAGAGGGAGAAAGATGGAGAGGCAGAGAGGAAGAGGGAGAGAGAGAGGGAGAGGGAGAGAGTGAGCTTTCTGTTCTTCGCAATGTCGTGGTTGGTTCGTTTCCTTTTTTGGGTTCTTCTGTCTTTTCAGAGTATTATTGTGTCTTTGGTGTTCTGATGTAATTTAAGACAAAAAAAAGACAGAAAAATGAAAAGAAAAAAAGATGCGAGGCATTTGATTTGTTGCATGACTAATGTAATCTTTTTTGCTGGTTCTGTACTGGGTGGAAAGGGTGGGGGGTGGGGGGGGGACCCTGGGGGGGTCCCCAGAATCCATGTCACATCTGTGTTCCATGGCCAAGGCTGTTTGGGGCTGCACTGCCCCTTCGCTGCATTTTCTAGCCCCCTTTTTTTTGGGGGGGGAGGACCACTGTGTCCAGATAATAGGAGGTGGGAAGAGGAAGGAAGGAAGGAAGGAAGGAAGGAAGGAAGGAAGGAAGGAAGGAAGGAAGGAAGGAAGGACGCTTTCTGCCTCCCAGCTGGGCCAGCCCTCTTGGGGCACCTTTTTTTGATTTGGGGGTGCAGGCAGCCACTACTATCTCAGACCCCCCCACCTGGCTGGGTTCATCAGCATTGAATTCCTAAGTGTCTTGTTTAGAGAAGAGACAATCAGCCAATAGGGAGGGTCTGGGCTGAACCCCAGCTTCCTAACATCCCAAGGGCCCTCTTGTGACCCCACTTCCCAGGAAGGCACCCCACCCCTAAGACACACACACACTAGACCCTGGGTTGAGGGGTCTTCCGTCCGAACCTGGGAGGTGGGAACACCCCCCCCCCAACCTAGATCTGCATCCTAGAGAACAGAGGGCCCCCAAATCATAACAGGGGTGCTGTGATAGTCTTCTGGACTATGACCCCCCCAGCCCAGCAGATCCCCTGGGGTTCTCGCCAAATGACACTGCTGACCTTTATAGATTTCCTCCCCTCCAAGGGCTGGTCTTTGGGGGATGCGGGATTGTCTCTGACCCAGGAAAGGGTGACCCAGAATCCCTGAGGTCCGGAACCTGCTGCTTTCTGCCTTCAGCAGAGCTCAGATTGCCCCCAAAAGCCCCCCCCCCGAAAAAAACCCACAATGCGAGAGGGACCCAGGCGCTCCCGCCCAGCCAGCCACCCCCACCGCGGGGGATGAGGCGGGAGCTTTCTCGGTTTTTCATCCTCCTTGTTAACCATTGCTGTGGGCTGGATTTCTTGTTTGATTTTTCTGCAATAAATTATTTTCTAGTCATTCACCTGGGCCTGTGTGTTGGCTGCTGGGGGTGGGGCCGGGTGGGGCAGGAAGGGGAGGGGTGGGAACTGGGGCTAAGGGGGAGGGAGCTCACCCCTTTCCAAGTTGCGCCCCCTCCCAATTGATTTTGGAAACAAAATCAATTCAAGTCCCCTTGGGGACGCTGAGCTTCTTTTGTTTGTTCTGGGGGTCACACCTGGCGGTGCTCGGGGCTGACTCCTGGTCCTGTGCTCAGGGGACATTCCTGGGGAGGGGGGCAGGGAAGGTGGGAACACGCTATGGGGATTGAACTTGGGTCAGCTGCGTGCAAGGCGAGCACCCCCCTGCTATTGCTCCGGCCTGGGGTGCTGATCTTGTGGGATCCTGCGTCCTGCTGGGAGGTTCCCCTGGCCAGTGCTTTTATCCTAGAATCTAGAATGTGAGGAGCTTTGAGGGGAGAAACGGGGCATGCTCGGAGGGGTGACAGACGGGGGGGGGGGGGACTGCTCATAAAAGCAGGGCGGAGGTGGGGGCTGCCCAGCCTTTTCCCTCCGGATCAATTAAGCTGCACCCACTTTTTTTTTTCATTCCCCCTGTGATTTGAAGGAAAGAAAATAGGGGGGAGGAAAAACAAATCCAAAACCTTTACTTGCAATTACCATATGTGGCCACTAGAGCGCTCCCTCCCTCTCTCTCTTCCTCCCTCCCTCCCTCCCTCCCTCCCTCTCTCTCTCTCTCTCTCTCTCTCTCTCCCCCCCCCCCCTTCAGTTATCTTATTTTGGGCCCACACACGCTTGTGCTCAGGGTTTACTCCTGGCTCTGTCCTCAGAGATCACTCCTAGTGGCCTTGGGTGGGGGAAGGGGGTGGAGGAGGGGGGGGACCATATAAGGTGCCAGGGATTGAACCTGGGTGGGCGGCCTGCAAGGGAATGCCTGACCGGCTGTACTACAGCTCTGGGCCCCTCTCTCTTGGCTCTTGACCACACCCAGTGATGCTCAGGGCTGACTCCTGGCTGGGCTCAGGGGTCACTCTGTCGGGAGAGACTGGGGGAACATACATCATGTCAGGAATCAAACCTGTGTCGGCCGCACCCTGCCGGCTGTATTATCTCCCTGCGGGGACCCCCCCTCCATTTTTCATTTTATTTTTTTTGCTTTCTGGGTCACACCTGGTAATGTCCAGGGGTTACTTCTGGCTTTGCACTCAGGAACTATTCCTGGCGATGCTCAGGGGACCATATGGGATGCTGGGAATTGAACCCAGGTCGGCTGCATGCAAGCCAAACGCCCTACCCGCTGTGCTATCGCTCCAGCACTGCCCCCACCCCCCGCCTTTTAAACCTTATTTCATGGGACCTTACAAAGAAAAATTAAGGGAGAGGGAGCCTCAGGGAGCGTTGTGGCCAGGAGGACCTTGCTTTATTAGAAAAAAAAAAAAAGGTCTGCAATACCTGCCTGGAGTGGCCAGAGGCCTGGGGCTTGCTGGTGGACGTCAACCAAACCTGGGCAGCCGTGTCCACTCTGCAGGTGCTGGAGAGCCCTGGCATTCCTCAGGTGGAAGGTGCCTGCACGGGTGACCTGGGTGAGGGTGGGCCCTCGGCGGGGGCAGGCGCCAGCTCCTGCCCAGTACCTGCTGGTGGTACCGCCAGAGGGGTGACCAACTCTGTCTTGGAGGGCTTGCACGCCCCCAGGAAGGGCCAGTGGGACTTCCAAAGGGGCACCTTCCTCGGGGGCACTGCTGACTCGCCTGACAGCTGGGGCTGACTCTGGAAGCGCCACAGGCGGCTCTCTGCGACAGTGGCAGTGGCGGTGGCAGCGGCAGGGCCCCGCTCCTCCCAGGACGCTGCCCGCTCCCGCGCCGGCCTCTTGGAGGAGGACTGCGGCCAGTGCTCCCGCAGCCCCAGCTGACCCTCCTGCGCGGCCGGCAACGACTCCAGCAAGGATCCCGAGGGCCACTTGGTGGTGGAGGACGACGAGTACTCCGGGCTGGAAGTTGGCTTTCCCGCGGCCCGGGACGACGTGCTTTCCAGACGCGAGCCCGGTGGAGGGATGGGCTGGGGGTCCTCGCAGGACACCCGGTCCTGGTGCCTGCGGCGGCCGCTGCTCTTCGTCTGCAGCGACGCCTCCCGGGGGCTCCAGTAGGAGCTCTGCCGGTCAAAGGAGTGCAGGTCCTCGGTCTTGAGGTCGTTGAGGAGGTCGCTGTGGGTGCCCGGGCCCCGGCGCAGAATCGTGCCCTGCGTGATGAGGCTGGCGAAGCCCTCCAGGTGGGAGAAGGCGTAACTGGAACGCCGCATGTGCGAGTCCCGCTGCAGGTAGGGCGGCGCCGCGTTCACCGGCATCCTGGCCGGGGCCTCCACCACTCCCTCCTCCTCCTGCAGAGCAAATTGCAGGGAAGAGTCAGGGGCTCCAGAGGAACCTGTCACCTGTCGCCACCTGCAGTGGGGGCCAATGGGTGGGGCCAGGTGGGGGTCTGGGTAGCAGGGAGGATGCTGGAGTGCAGCACGCCATGGCCAGGCCCTTCCTCACCCCCAAGATGACCTGACGGGGGCTGGAGCAATAGCACAAGCGCGTAGGGCGTTTGGCTTGCACGCGGCCGACCCGGGTTCGATTCCCAGCATCCCATATGGTCCCCTGAGCACCGCCAGGAGTAACTCCTGAGTGCATGAGCCAGGAGTAACCCCTGTGCAAAGTCGGGTGTGACCCAAAATGCAAAAAAAAAAAAAAAAAAAAAAAAAAAAACAAGATGACCTGACTAGATACCTCTGGAACTTGACTCAGGTCCAGAGTCCTTCCTTGGAACTCTTTTCTGGACCAGCCAATCAGAGCCTTTTCCTGTTTCCTGAGATCCAATTCTGGAACCAGCCAATGAAAATCCTTCCCTGGGAGGGGCTGGAGCAATAGCACAACGGGTAGGGCGTTTGCCTTGCACGCGGCCGACCCGGGTTCGATTCCCAGCATCCCATATGGTCCCCTGAGCACCGTCAGAGGTAATTTCTGAGCGCAGAGCCAGGAGTAACCCCTGTGCATTGCCAGGTGTGACCCCCCCCCCAAAAAAAAAAAAAAAGAAAATCCTTCCCTGGGAGTCCACTCTGGACCAGCCAATCAGAGTTCTTCCCTGAAATTTAATTCTAGAGCCAGCCAATCCCAGTCCTTCCTTTGGACTCAACTGCGGACCAGCCCATCACAGTCCTTCTGTGGGGATCTTCGTAGAGTCCTTCCATGAGACTCTAAGCCTCGTGCACCCATTGGTGACTTATCCAGGAAGTGGGTCTGGGTAGTTAGGTGTCCAGTTTTTGGTAGGAACTAGCAGATGGGGTTCAACTCAAGTCCCCTGGGTTGTAGGGCACACTCCAGCTGCAATTCAACCACTGAGGCTTTGGTTATGCCAGTCCACCAGGCCCACTCTTTACCGTACTATCCTTGTTGTTGGAAGACTACTCTTGGGCCAGTGCTCGAGAGGACCAGGCAGCACCGGGGATCAAACCGGGGCTCAGGCATGCTAAAAGCTCCTTCCTATTGAACCACCTCTGCTGCTCCCCTTTTTTTCTCTGTTTCTTTCTTTTGGAGACACACCCGGGGGTACTCAGGGATTACTCAGTGATGCTTAACAGGGGGCTGGAGCGATAGCACAGCGGTAGAGCGTTTGCTTTGCACGCAGCCAGCCTGGCCGAGGCAGGTTCAATTCCTCTGTCCCTCTCAGAAAGCCGGAAAGCTACTGAGAGTATCTCGCCCACATGCCAAACACAGTAACAAGAAGTCTCCAAAAAATGGAGGCGTTGCTGGGCCCGCTCGAGCAAATCGATGAACAACGGGAGGACAGACACTGTGAGACATTGTGGTGCTTAACAGGACTATATACGGTGCTGTAGATTGAACCATGGTCCCACATGCAAGGCCTTAACCCCTGTACTATGCCCGCCCGCCATTTGCTTGTTTTGTTTTGGGGTCACACCCAACAATACTCAGGGATTACTCCTAGCTCTGCATTCAGGAATCACTCCTGGTGGTGCTTGGGGGGACCAAGTGGGAGTCAGGGATCAATCCCGGGTCAGCCGTGTGCAAAGCCAACACCTTACCCCACGCACCATCTCTCCAACCCCTCCACCATTTTACCATCTTAACCACAGCCAAGTACATCCACGGATGAAGCAGCATGAAGTTTATTCTGTTCACAAAGATCTGTGACCCATCCCCACCCTCATCCTCCTTGGGATGGAGCGACAGTCCAGTGGGGAGGGCACTTGCCTTGCACATAGCAGACCCAGATTCGATCCCTGGCAGCCCTTATGGTCCCCTGAACCCCACTAGGAGGGATTCCTAAGCACAGAGCACCAGAGTCAGCCCTGGGCACTGCTGGGTATGGCCCAGCCCCTGCTACCCGAAGTGAAAACATTCTCGCCCCCACTGGAAGCATTGTCACCTCCCTTCCCCAGCCCACCCTTCATTTACTCAGTGCCTCTCTGTGGGGGCCACCTCTGGGGACCTCCTAGGAGGGGGATGTCCCCAGGATGTGTCCCTGTGTTTCGGGCCCTGATTCTCTCTTCCCCTGGTTCCCCACATTGTAGCTGGCGTCAGCGTGTCCTTCCTTCTAGGCCTGCTGTGGGGTCAGCATGTGAGATGGTTCGTGTCCGTTGGTGAACAAAAACTGTCCCCTCCTATCCAGGCCTCACAGGTGCAAAATATGCCCAGTCCCCAATTCCCCTTTTTAGCATAAACCAACCCTATTTTCCCATTTTGGGAGAGTGGGGATGGGGTGGGGTGCGGGGGACACCAGCAGTGCTCAGGGCTTACTCCTGGCTTACTCAGGAATCATTCCTGGAAGTACCTGGGATGGGCAGGGTCCTATGGGGTGCAGGAATCGAGCCCAGGTCATGCATGGCAAGTGTCCGCTATACTAACACTCTGGCCCTATTTCTGCCTTAAATCATATAAAGTGCAGGGAACAGACACTGCTGTATTTTTTTGGGGGGGGGGCACACTGTAGTGTGTTTGTGGGTGGCCATGGTGATTCCTGCTCCCCCAGTGGGCTCTGGCTGATTGGGGTCCCCAGATCTCGTAGGGGCCAGGAGCGGGAGATGGCCTCACTTTTCTTGGTTTGGTTTTGATTTGGGGCCACAGCTGGCAGTGCCCAGGTCTTACTCCTGGCGCTATGCATAGGATCACTCCTGGGGAAGCTCAGGGGACCCTATGGGGTGCCAGGGATCAAACCTGGGTCAGCCACATGCAAGGCCAGAGCCCACCCGGCTAGCCTATTGCTCCAGACCTCACCTTTTTGAGAGGCTTCTTGATTGTTTTGCAAAGAAAGCGGAAGGCCAGGACTGGAATCGTATTCAGGGACACGTTCATGAGAATGACCAGCAGGAGGAAGGGCTGACTGAGCACGAGATTGTCAGCATCTAGGGACAGGCAGGGTCACGGCTATTAGTAGGCCCTCCTCAGAGCCCACTGGTCACCCTTTCCCTCTCCAGGGTCCCCAATTCTCTTGCAGGGTCCCCCATACCCGAGTCCTCTTGGCTCCGCCCCCTCCACCAGCCCCGCCCACCGGGGGGCGCGTTCTCTATCAAGCCCCGCCCCGAGCAGGATTAATCCCCCATCGTGCCCCGCCCCCACGTGGCTGCTGCAAGGGCGGGGCATGCCGTGGCCCCGCCCCCAGGCCCTCCCCATCCTTTTAGCTGGGGGTTCTCACTTAGAAACGGGAAGGCGTCGGGGGCGAGTTTGAAGAAGGCATAGCTCTGGTAGTTTTGTGTGATGACGAAGTAGGCTAACAGGCTGACGAAGATGGCCAGCACGGCCAGGAAAGTCCAGTACGTAATGATAATTATGACCTGCATAGGAAAGAGACAGGGTTTCAGCCACTCCCACCACCCACCCCGGACCCCCAAGGAAGGGTCTGGGCACCGGGCCCGGAGGGAGGAGGAGGTGGAGGAGGGTGGCTACCTCCACCGTGATGGTCAGCAGGCAAGACAGTGCGACGACCACGGCGAATGACTGGTAGTCGTTGAGGCCCGGGAGCCCGTGACTGCTGGCCCAGAATGTCACGAAGAAATTGACCAGCGAGGTGACTGTGCCGTGCGCGACGGCTCGCAAGAACACCCAGTAGTTAAACAGTTCGTCCTTCTGGCCCAAGGTGTAGAGCTGGGGCAGCTTCAGACTCTCTTCCGCGCTCACGTCCTGGGGGCGGGGGCGGTGGGGGGGGACATGCTCTTGGATGCCCCTGGGGGTAGGGAGAGCGGCAGCCCCAGGGGTCGACCCAAGTGAAGTAGGGGGAGGCGAAGCATTTGGCCCAGGGTGATGCCGGGCGCTTGTTTTTTTTGCACTGGACCAATCCTAGTTCAACCAACCGCCTGCGGTCCTTCCGGGCGCCGCTAGGGGTCACTTCTGAGCACAGAGCCAGGAACAGCCCTGGAGCTCCACAGGGTGTGTCCCCCCCCACCCCCAATCAGAAAGAAAGGAGAGGGGAAAGAAGGGGTGGGGGGTAGAGGGAGCCAGAGTGCCATGCCAGGTGATAAGTCCATACAAGACCCCAGCAGAACCACATCCCAGTTCTGCTGGCATTAAACCTTTTTTTTTTTTTTTTTGCTTTTTGGGTCACACCCAGCAATGCTCAGGGGTACTCCTGGCTCTGTGCTCAGGAATTACTTCTGGCGGTGCTCAGGGGACCATATGGGATGCCGGAGATCGAACCCGGGTCGGCCGCGTGCAAGGCAAACGCCCTACCCGCTGTGCTATCGCTCCTTTGACATTAAACCTTTTTTTTTTTTCTTTTCGGGTCACACCCGGCAATGCACTGGGGTTACTCCTGGCTCTGCACTCAGGAATTACTCCTGGCGGTGCTCAAGGGACCATATGGGATGCCGGGGATCGAACCCAGGTCAGCCGCGTGCAAGGCAAACGCCTCTACCTGCTGTGCTCTCATTCTTTTGACATTAAACCTTTGACCTTGGAGCCAGAGTGATAGGACAGTGGCAGCGGGGAGGGCCATTGCTTTGCACGCCACCAACCCGGGTTCGATCTCCAGCATCCTATATGATCCCCCCCAAACACCATCAGGAGTAATTCCTGAGCTCAGAGTCAGGAGTCACCCCTGAGCCTTACCTGGTGTGGCCCCCAAAACAAAAAACAAAAGAACGGTTGGGAGGGGAGAATTTTAGGTTGTGTGGATTTCACAGCTATTTAAAGCCAACACTGTTGCACTGTAGCTCTGTCCTCCCTTTGTTCATCATTTGCTCCAGCGAGAGGGCCCAGTAATGTCTCCACTGTGAGACTTGTTGTTACTGTGTTTGGCATATCGAATACGTCACGGGGAGCTTGCCAGGCTTTGCTGTGGCGGTGAGATACTCTGGTAGCTTGCCAGGCTCTCCGAGAGGGGCGGAGGAATCGAACTCGGGTTGGCCGTGTTCGCCGGCCGCATGCAAGGCAAATGCCCTACCGCTGTGCCCTCACTCCAGCCCCATTTAAAGACAAAAGGAAAAAAAAAATAAACTGCACCCAACAATGCTTGGAGAACCAGGTGATGCTCTTTTTTCTTTTTGGGTCACACCCGGCAATGCACAGGGGTTCCTCCCGGCTCTGCACTCAGGAATTACTCCTGGCAGTGCTCGGGGCACCCTGTGGGATGCTGGGAATCGAACCTGGGTTGGCCGTGCGCAAGGCAAACGCCCTACCCGCTGTGCTATCGCTCCAGCCCCAAACCAGGGGATGCTGGGGATCCAACTTGGGGCCCCGCAGTAGAGTGGCATTTGCTTCAGTCCTTTGGGTCATCTCCCAAGAAGCCAAATGCTTCTTCCTTACGCTCCCCATCCTCCCCCACCCCCGAGTTTATTTATGTCTCTGTGCTCCGGGGATCATTCCTGGAGAAGTGAGCCATATGTGGTGCCAGGGATCAAACGTGGGTCAGCTTCGTGCAAGGCAGGCGCCCTGTCTGCTGTACTCTCTCTCCAGTCCCCTTTTATTTTATTTTCTCTGTGTGTGTGTGTGTGTGTGTGTGAGCGCGCGCGCATGCGCGTGTTTTGAACCATCCCCAACAATGCTCAAGGCTCTGCACATCGGAATCACTCCTGACTGTGCTCTGGGAACCATATGGGATCCCGGGGGGTTGAATCCGGGTCTGCCACTTGCAAGGTCTGCCGCCTGCCCATGCCTGGCGGGCTCACCAGTGCTGGGCGTACCTGAGCTGCCAGCATGGGTCCCAATCATCATCTGGAATGTTCTAAGGGACACCCCCCCCCCTGCCCCGTTCCCCACGCAGTCCTGATTATTTAGAGTCTCCTGAGCACTGCTGGCAGGGGTTGGGGACTGTTCTGAATCAAGCTCCCCATCATTGTTCCCGGGGTTGTAGACACAAGGATGAGCCTTGGGGTGGGGGATGGGGTATCCTAAAAGGGCCAGAGGGCTGGCCCATGGACCCCAAGATCAGGTTGGGCACCGGTAGGAGGGGACTGGGGGAAAGTGATTTGCCGGAAGCTCATAAAAGAGCTTTCTCCCAGGACATCGGGGTCAGGGGGGCTGGGGCTGGGGGGTTGGGGGCAGCTTACCTGCTCAAACAGCCCAATGTAGAGAACTGGGAGGGTGCTGTAAAGCAGGTTGAAGAGCGCCAGGAACCAGCCCTCGTACAGCGGCTGAGGGCACAAGAAAGGCGTCACCTCAGACAGCGCCCTGCAGGCACACACCCACCCCAGCAAGCTGGAGCCCCGAAACCTTCCTCAAAAGTGAGCAGAGAGGGGCCGGAGTGATAGCACAGCGGGGAGGGCGTTTGCCTTGCATGCGGCCAACCCGGGTTCGATTCCCAGCACCCCCATATGTTCCCCTGAGCACCACCAGGAGTAATTCCTGAGTGCAGAGCCAGGAGGAACCTCTGAGCATCGCTGGGTGTGACCCAAAAAGCAAAATAAACAAATTAAATTAAAAAAATCATTTAAAAGAATTAAAATAATTTAAAAGAGGGATAGATACTGTCCCTCTCACCTTCTGCCTAACCTTTTAAATTATTAAATTGTAATCCCTATAAGGAATTAAGATGCTTTGTTTGGACGCCAGCGAGGTAGTCAGGAGGGCAGCGCGCTTGTCTTGCATCTTAGTCTATCCCTGGCATCCTCGCAGCGCGAGGAGTGGTCTTCATCTACAAGACCACTGCCAGGAGTAATTCCTGGGTGCAGAGCCAGGATTAACCTCATTCCATCGCCGGGTGTGGAAAAATTTTAAAAAAGATGCTTGCCTGGGGGCTGGAGCAATAGCACAGCGGGGAGAGCGTTTGCCTTGCACGCGGCCAACCCGAGTTCAATTCCCAGCATCCCATATGGTCCCCTGAGCACCGCCAGGAGTGATTCCTGAGTGCAGAGCCAGGAGTAACCCCTGTGCATTGCCGGGTGTGACCCAAAAAGAAAAAAAAAAAAGATGCTTGCCTGGAGAACGCAGGCCTGCCCAGCTGGAGAGCCAACAGTGCGCATGGACCGCCAGGGGTGACTCCTGAGCACAGAGCCAGGAATAGCTCCTGAGCATCTGCACTGTGGGTTCCTGCCCAACCTCCCCCAGGCTGCACTTGCGAGGTGAAGACCGGTAAGCTCCTCCCGTGAGGGTGCTGGGTGCAGGGCCATGGACGGGAGGGACGGAGAGGGGGCACGCCCCGGTCCCCCACCTGAGTGGTGAAGCCATTGTAACAGGCGAACCAGATCTGGACCATCATGCTGGCCGTGGTCTTGTAGATGAAGTAGCGTAGGAACTTGCAAATGCGCATGTAGGACCAGCGGCCGTGCACCAGCAGCAGGCGCCGGAGGTAGGAGAACTGGGCCAGCGAGAAGTCGCTACTGTGAACCGCCTGCATGCCCTCAGGTCCTGCCAGCCCCACGCCAATGTCCGCAGCTGCCGAGGCACACGCACAAACCTTTCATCAGGGGCCCACCTCCGTCGCCAGTCCAGTCCCCGCCCACCTGAGGTAATGCCACGCCCACTTCCCTTTTGTGTGGCCCCACCCCTCAGATCACAACTCCGCCCCCAGCAGTCCCGCCCACTTATCATGTTGCTTGACCACGCCCCACACGATCACTTCACCTCACCCTGGCCCCACCCCTTTCTATCGCCCCGCCCAGGCCACGCCCCCGCACGATACCTCGCCTCTCCCTGGCCCCGCCCCTCTTGATCGCCCCGCCCAGGCCACGCCCCGCACGACACCTCGCCTCGCCCTGGCCCCGCCCCTCTTGATCGCCCCGCCCAGGCCACGCCCCCGCACGACACCTCGCCTCGCCCTGGCCCCGCCCCTCTTGATCGCCCCGCCCAGGCCACGCCCCACACCCACTCTTGATCATGTTGACGTCATTGGCACCGTCGCCCACCGCCAGGGTCACCACTTTCTGGTACTTCTTGACCAGTGCCACGATCAGGGCCTTCTGCTTGGGGGTGACGCGGCAGCAGATGACGGCCTGGCATTGGGAGGCCAGGTCCACGAAGGCCTGTTCTTGCTCTACCTCCAGGTTCTCGGTGTACCGCCTCCTGGCCATCAGCCCAGTGCTCCGCAGCGGGATCTCGAGGGCCTGCCAGAGCATGGACAGCCGCCACTGGTGCATCAAGTCTCCCCTCCTATGCTCCGGCTCCTGCCAGTAATCCACCGTGCTGGGGCACGGGGCCCCCGGCTCCGTGCGCAAGGACGTGAGTAGCTGGTCCTGGCGGTGGTAAGTGAGGAGGTGTCTCTGCCTGTTTCTCTTCCCTCTGAACATAGACCCCCCACCCCTCACCCCGCTTCCCAAACCAGGCATCTCCCCCGCAGGCCGGCTTGACCTGTTGCCTCTCTCGCTCCTGCCCCTTTCGTAGCAGGGCACTGCACGCCATTGGCCCGGGGTCCTTCCCAAGCCCTGGGCACTATGCTTCGGGTATAGGGCACCCGTCTAGCCCACTGCCAGCCTGGGGCTCCTCCCAGTCCCTGTCCACATGCAGGTCACCCTGCCCGCTGACCCACTGACCAGAAAGTCCCCTGTGATAACCATGGCCACTTTGAACTGCTCGCTGAACATCTTCGGGAGGCGGCACCACCTTTTCTTCTTCAGAATCTGGCTGTTGGCATTTTCCCAGAAGGCCTCCAGGATGTGGCTGTGCAAAGGAAGTGGACGCCCCCCCCAAGCCCCCAGACGGGGGTCAGCCATTCCTTCCTCCCTACGCCACGCTCACCAAGTCTTACTTCCTCGGAACCCCTGGGTCTTTAGTGGAAAGGAACTGGGACGGCAGGAGTCTGGTCTTCTGGTACGCAGCAAACGCCTCCCCTCCAGCATCGGGGGTTCTGGGTGCCCAGGCCCCACCCCAGCCGCAACCCCACCCATACCCCCTTCTTACTTAATCTCCACCGGCTCCAGAATGAGCATGCTCTCCGAAAGCAGCCCGCAGGCAAAGGCGATGTTCACTGCTGTCTCTGCAAACCAGCCAGGGCTCACCACCTGTGGTGGGTTCGGTCTGCGGGCCAGGTCCCGCCCCTGCCTAGAGTATTGCCTTGTCCCACCCCCTAAATGCAGTGATTGGCTCTGAGGAGAGCACGTGGTCCAGGTTGGCCAATAAGATCAAGTCTTGAGAGCCAACGCCATAGCTCAGCGGGGAGGGCATTATCCTTGCAGGAGGCCGACCTGGGTTCAATCCCCAGCATCCCATAGGGTCCCCCGAGTCCCCGGAGTGCAGAACCGGGAGTAATCCCTGAGAATCGCCGGGTGTCACCCAAAAAAGGTCCCTTCTGCTTTCCTGTTTATCTGCAAGGGTGAAAGGCTCAAGGGGCCCGGGTGATAAGTATAGCAGGTAAGGTGCTTGCCTTGCACATTGTCGACCCGGGTTCAATCCCTGGTATCCCAAAGGGACCCCGGAGTGATCCCTGAGCACAGGTTGGCCCTGAGCAATGCCGATTGTGGACCCCAAAAAACACTAACAAAAAAATCAGGGCTGGAGCACAACGGGTAGGGCGTTTGCCTTGCACGTGGCCGACCCAGGTTCAATTCCCAGCATCCCATATGGTCCTCTGAGCACTGCCAGGGGTAATTCCTGAGTGCAGAACCAGGAATAACCCCTGTGCATCGCCGGGTGTGACCCAAAAAAGCAAAAAAAAAAAATCAAATAACACACAATCATTTCAGTGTCTTCTGCCTCTGAGGAGAAAAGTCCCAAACTGTCCCTGGGACCCTGAGGTAGACCTGAGTGGGGGTGGGAGATCTGATGCCTGTCAGGAACCCCTGCCTTCCTCTCCGTGCTGGGAGCAGCCGCCCTGGGACCCACCTTGCTTATCCCCCGTGAGTACCCACACTTTGATGTTCGCATCCTTGAGACACTGGATGGTCTCGGGGACGTGGTCCTGGAGTCTGTCTTCAATCGCTGTGACTCCCAGAAGCTGGGTGAGGAGGAACACAATGAGCAAACCCCGAGGTCCTCAGGCCTCAGGCCTCCAGGGCATCACCCCCCCCCCTCCCAGGTTCACCTGGAGGTTCTGCTCCATCTCCTCGTAAACCTGCTGCAATGCCTGGGTGCGGTTCTGCAGCAGGATGCTGGCTTGCTGGTGGTGCTGCTGCCACTTCTGGAAGCTGTTCTCGTCCACCTTCTTGAAAGCCAGGCACAGCGTCCGCAGGGTCTGCCGGGCAAAGGACTGGGGCCCCGGCGGCATTCCAGTCACCCCTCTGCTGCCCCCTCTCTGCCTCTTCCCTCCCCTCCACCACCACCAACTGACATGCTTCCTGACCCGCTAGATTTGTGCCTGGATTTGCAATGTGCACAACCAGCCCAACTGCACCTGGCAACCGGACCTGTGCCTACAGCCATTTCTCCTAAAACTCTTCCTTCTGGTGCCCGCCTCCCTGCCTCTGGGCAATCGCCTCCTGCAGCCACTCACCGCCAACACCTCCTCCGTGCCCCACTCTACAGTGCTCTTTAACTGCAACCGCTCAAATATGACGGTGTCGGCGCCTTTGGTATAGAGGTAGATGTCGCCCTCGGGGTTTCGGACTGTGGGGTCCGAAAGGGAAGAAAGGCTCAGCTTCCCACGTCTGTCTCTCCACCCAGGGCTGGGCCCAGGGAGGGTGGTGGACGCTCACCTAGCACCGACATCCGCTTCCGTGTGCTGTTAAAGTCCATCATGGCCAGGACTTGGTAGACCCGCTCTTTCCCCAGCTCCAGCACCGTGATGCTGTCCTGGCTGCGCGCTTTGAACACGTAGCCGAAATTTCGGGCCGCCGTCACCAGCGCCTCCTCGTCAGGGGACGCCGCCTGATACACCAGCTGGTCTGCAGCAATGACAGGTGGGTAGAGGGACGCGACGGGTTGCAGGGCCCACATCCAGCGCTAGGGGGCGCTCAGCCGATTTTTACGAGGAGGACACTGATGCAACCTGGGTGCAGGGCTCAAGGAAGGCGGGGGGAGCGGGAATGGCTGGAAAGGGGTACGACGCATACTCGGGGGCTTGGTCTTGATCCCCAATATCACTGTATTGAGCCCCAAAACCAAAAGTATAAAATAAAGGAAATTGAGCGCTAGGATCCAGTCTACAGGTTCCCCTAAGTAGGTCTCCACCGGGCGGGCCAATAAAGACAGATGGGCGGGGTCAAGGGACTAGCCTGACCTGGCCACGCCCCTAACCAGGGCCAATAACTATAGGTGGGCGGGGCCATAAACAAATCTGCTAGGGATATGCCCCCGTTGGGGCCAATAAGAAATGGTGGGCGGGGCTAGAGCTAATCTGACCTGAATACAGCTTCCAGTCAGAGCCAATTAGAACAAATGGGCGGGGACTAGGCTGGCCTAGACCCGCCCCCCTCCTCAAAGCAAGAGCCAAAAATAGAGGGGCAGGGGACATTAGCTAATCTGGTCTGGGCCAATAAAAAAAGTGGGCGGGACCGGAGGCCTGGCCTGAACACACCCCTAGCCAGGGCCAATAAAAATATGTGGGCAAGGCCAGGGAGATACGCATCAGCCCCTGCATATACAGGGTCCCAAATTACCTTCCAAGCATCAAGCAGGACTTTGGGTCTATGTGGTCGCGGCGTGGGGCTGGGCTGGGTGCCCTGAGTGAAACTTACTGTTCTTTTCTTGAACCATCACCGTATGGCAGATGGCCAGGAGCCTCCAGAACTCCACCACCATGTTGTCCTCCTGACTGCGCACGATCCGTAGGAGCTCCGAGTTGTAGTAACGCAATTTCCCATCGGCGTACGTGTTCCAGCTGTAGGGGTTCTGGGGAGCGGTGGGGTGGTGGGCGCGAGGCTGATGCCCATCCCCCACCCATTCCTTTCTGCAGGACTGGGGGTGGATGGGGGGAGGGGGGCGCAAACCTGAAGCGAGGTGGTGTCCTCAGGGCCTGGGGAAAAGAATCTACTTTCAGGATTCAGCTCCCCAAGAAGTCCACTCGGGGGGGTCTGAGGACTATGCTTGACTGCACCTCCCCCCCCAATGCAAGCATCCCATTTTGGAGAGCAGAGCTAGTTTCAGCACCAGTGACACCCAGCCCCCATCTCAGACTCTCTGCTTTAAGAAATGAAAGGCTTGGCCTGGAGCCATGGTGTGGGGGGGGAGGGCTTTTATTTTGCACACGGCCAACCCAGATTCAATTCCTGACATCCCTTAAGGTTCCCCCAAAGAGCCATCAGGAGTAATTCCTGCTTGCAGAGCCAGGACTAACCCCTGAGCACCACCAAGTGTGACTCCCCCCCCCATACACACACAAACTTTGGGGCTGGAGCGATAGTACATTAGGGAGGGTGTTTGCCTTGCACGCAGCGCACCTGAGTTCGATCTCGGGCATCCTATATGTTCCCCCAAGCACCACCAGGAGTAATTCCTGAGTGCAGAGCCAGGAGTAACCCCTGAGTATCACCGGGTGATAACCCCCCCCCAAAAAAAAAAGAAAAAAAAAAGACTTGGTCACCTCTGGCGAGGAGTAATCCAGAAGGGAGAGGGAGACAGGAATGAGACTCAGGTGTAGGGGTTGGGATAGGGGTTTTGTGTGACCTTCTAGTGCTCTTTGGGGGGGGCACGTTTTTGATTTCTGGGACACACCCTGTGGTGTTCAGAGGCTATTCCTGACTCGGCACAGGAGTGACCCCTGGTGGCGCTCAGGTGATCCTACAGGGTGTCAGAGATCAAGTCTGAATGCAGAGTCAGGAGTCAGCCCTGAGCTTCCGGCGTGGCACCAAAACAAAACAAGACCAAAAGCAAAACAAAACAAAACAAAACAAAACAGAAAGAGGCCCAAGAGAAAATACAGCAGAGAGGGCCCTTGCCTTGCGTGCAGCCGCTCAGGTTAGATCCCTGAGCACAGGGCCAGGAGTAAGCCCGGAGCACTCCCGGGTGTGGGCCAAAAATCAAAATATAAAAAACAAACAAACAGGCCCACTTATGCTGCCTGAGGCCCTGTGCTGCTTGCGCCCACGTGACCGAGCACATGTGTCACCTGCATCTTCCCTCTTGAGATGTGGACATTCATTTCTCTCCCTCCTTCCCTTCAAAGCCTCCAAATAAAATGTTTTGCTTTACTCGGAGACGTTACTGGGCCCGCTCGAGCAAATCGACGATCAACGGGAGGGCCTTTACCTTCTTTTTTTTTAAATTTTTAAAATTTTTTTAATTATTTTGCTTTTTGGGTCACACCCGGTGATGCTCAGGGGTTACTCCTGGCTTTGCACTCAGGAATCACTCCTGGCGGTGCTCGGGGGACCCTATGGGATGCTGGGAATCGAACCCGGGTCGGCCGCGTGCAAGGCAAACGCCCTACCCGCTGTGCTATTGCTCCAGCCCCTAAAATGTTTTACTTTTAAGAAATTAAAAATTTAAGAAATTAAAAAAACAAACAAAAAAAGGCCACCTTTTTGTGAGAGACTGTGATAGGAGTTCACTTCCCTGGAAGGTTCACCTGCCTGGCTTCCGTGAGACAGACCCCTGTTCTCACTGGGCACCACATACGTCCTCTGAGCACTGCTGGGGGTACCTTGGGGCACAGAGCCCCAGAAGTATGTTCTGAGCACCATTGGGCCTGACATCCCCCCTCACCAAATGCTCTGAGGGCCAAGAGATAATTCAGTGGGTTAAAGCGCTTGCATGTGGGGCCGGAGCAATAGTACAATGGGGAGGGAGGGAGTTTGCCTTGCACGCAGCGACCCGGGTTCGATCCCTGGCATTCCATAGGGTCCCCCAAGCACCGCCAGGAGTCATTCCTGAGTGCATGAGCCAGGAGTAACCCCTGAGCTTTGCTGGGTGAGACCCAAAAAGCAAAAATAAAAAATAAAAAATTTTAAAAACTCATAAAACTCTATGTGGCTGACTTGGGTTCAATATCAATATCAAGGCCCGAGAGTGACCTCTGAGTGCAGAGCCAATAGACTGCCCTGAGCACTGCTGACTGTGACCCCCAAACAAACAAACTAAAAAGCCCTGCTATTCAAAAAACCCAGCTCCCGGAAGAGAACAGCGAAGAGTCTCCTGCCCCCGCGCCTGGCTGTCCTCGCCGGGGCCCCTTGGAGGGGTGCGGGTTGAGTTTCCCTCCCCACCCCGACCAGGGCTCTGGCAGCCGAAGACCTCCAGGACCAGCCAACACCATGCTGAGACCACTCTCTGCACACATGAAGGTACTGGCAGAGGGCCAAAGCCACGCGGGTTCCGGGGCCGAGATCTCCAAGCCTACTTGGATTGGGGCTGGGCATCCTCCACCCAGATCCTCCAAATTCCAGTAGGCGGGGGTCACACCCACCAACTGGCCCCCTGGCGCCGTGTAATCCCATCAACGGCCAAGATTCAGAGACTATAAAACCCAGCTCCCGGAAGCACGCGGCCGCATTTGTGGCGGCATGACATCTTATCATCTCATTCCTACTTTGGACAAACTGGCAGGCTACCGAATGTAACCTGCCCACACGGCAGAGTCTGGCAAACTCCCCGTGGCATACCCAATATGCCAAATACCAGTAACAATGAAGGGTCTCATTCTCCTAACTCTGAAAGAGCCTTGAATATGGCACTTTAAAAAAAAGAAATCTCATGGCTAGGACGAAGAGACGTTACTGGGGCCTGCTCGAGGCAATCAACGAATAACAGGATGGTTGTAATTGATTGATTGTGATTCAAAAGTCAGCATCAAGGGCTAGAGCGATAGTACAGCAGGAAGGGCTTTTGCCTAGCCCACAGCCGACCTGAGTTCGATCTCCAGCATCCCGTAGGAGCCCCTGATCCCAGCCAGGAGTGACTCCCGAGTGCAGAGCCAGGAGGAAGCCCTGAGCATCACCAGGTGTGGCTCAAACACAAACAAGCCAGCATCCGTCAGCCAAAAGGGGACCCCAACCGGAGACCGTTTCCTGGGACAGCTTGCCAGAGACTGCTAAGGAGGTTCCAGGAGCCCCCGATGGTTCTTCCCAGAAACGGCCGAGCCCTGCCTTCCCACATACTCCGTCATTCCCTGAGTTCGGGTTCCAGTTCTGGGGCGAGGGAGCGGGGCGCAGGGTTCCCCAGTACCCACCATAGACGGTCCCCCGTATGCAGCACTGGTTGAAGGTCATGATGTTCTGTGTGAGGGTCCCCGTCTTGTCCGAGAAGATGTACTGCACTTGGCCCAGGTGGTCCGTGAGGCTGGTGCTGCGGGCATTGGCGGGCATGTCCCGGGGCTCGTAATACATCTCCGAGTCCCAGTTGATGAAGATGCTGTTACCCAGGTAGATGAATTCGGCTCTGCCAAGGGTGCAGAGAGGTGGCTGGTCAACCCCTGAAGAAGCCACCCGGTGTGGCCCAGGGGTGGGGAGGAGCAGGCGGGCACCCACAGGGCAAACATAGCCATGGGCACCATGACGCTGAGCAGGATCAAAAAGGCCCAGAAGAAGAGGAAACACTCGGCCGCCACGCTGTAGCGATGAAGGCGGGACAGGTAGAAGTGCTTCTCCTTGAACTCGTGGACCATGCGGTAGAAGCCCAAAGTCAGCAGCCCGGAAACCAGCACCAGGGACACAAAGATCTGGGGGCGAGAAAAAGGGGGGTGCCACGGAGTCAACAGGAACCTGCGCCCCTACCTTGGATCCTGGCTCCCGTGGTGGGTTCGGGGAGAGCAGGTGCGGGGGGGGGGGTGTCCGAGTGAGTGTTGGCCTGATTTGGGGGTTCCACCACTCAGGATCCCACTGAGGGGGGGACCTGGAGTGATAGCACAGTGGGGAGGGCGACCACACCCCACACCCCTCCCCCCGGTCACCGGGCAGCAGCTCAGGCCAGTCCGACTGCCACCCACTAACTTGGGGACAAAAGCATGCACATCTCTTTGATGGCAGACAGAGAGGACATGTAAGGGAGGAAGGCAAGACCCTCCTGGGGCCGAGCACCCAAGAACCGGAGGAGCCGGTTAAGAAACTGGCTTATCTACGTTGGAACGCTACAAGCCAGGTTGCAGAGATGGGATGGCAGGAGGGAAACTTGGGTGTTGGGAAAAGTACACTCATGAAAGGATGGGTATAGGGGCTAGAGTGATAGCACAGTGGGTAGGGCGTTTGCCTTACACACAGCCGACCTGGGTTCGATTCCCAGCATCCCATAGGGTCCCCCGAGCACCGCCAGGAGTGATTCCTGAGCGCAGAGCCAGGAGAAACCCCCGTGCATCGCCGGGTGTGACCCAAGAAGCAAAATAAATAAATAAATAAAAACAAAATGAAAAAGTGACAGCAGGGAGGGGACTTGCCTTGCATGTGACTGACCCAGCATCTCATGTGGTCTCCTGAGCACCGCCAGGAGTAATGTTTTTTTTCTGCTTTTTTGGGGTCACACCCAGCGATGCACAGGGGTTCCTCCTGGCTCTGCGCTCAGGAATTCCTCCTGGCGGTGCTCGGGGGACCCTATGGGATGCTGGGAATCGAACCCGGGTTGGTCACGTGCAAGGCAAATGCCTCACTCCAGCCCCCAGGAGTAATTTCTGAGTGCAAAGCCAGGAGTTACCCTTGAGCATCGCCGGGTGTGGCCGAAAAAGCAAAAAGAAAAAAAGAAACAGCTGGCAGGGAAGGCGGCTGAATGGGAGAGCGTATGTGACAGTCCTGTGTCAGATCCTTACTTTGGTTCCAGAAGGCACCCCGATTCTCC